GGAGTGTGAGCAGGTGTGGAGAAGTGTGGACACTCACGGGAGTGTGAGCAGGGGTGGAGAAGTGTTACAGTGGTCATTTTCATTTCTGTTGTGGTGATAAAACACTTGACTACGGGGCTCTCAGGTTAAGAGCACCAACTGCTCTTCCAAAGGACCTGAGTTCACTTCCCAGCACCCACATGGCTGCTCACAACTGTCTTTAACTCCAGTCCCAGGGACCTGACACCTTCACACAGACATAAATGCAGGCAAAACACTAATATTTATAAAATGAAACAAACAAACAAAAAAAATGCCTGACCAAAATCAAATTGGAGGGAAAAGGTTTATTTTAGCTCACAATGTCAGTGTACAGTCTACCACAGCCAGGAAGGCGGCAGGAACATCGAGAGCCCATGCATGCTTCTAGTGCCTGGCTTACTTTTAACTCATGCAGTCTAGGAACTAGTGCCTCCCACGTCAAGGTAATCAAGACATCCCACAAACACGCCCATGGGCCAGCCTGATCTGGATAATCCCTCACTGAACCAATTCCCAGGTTATTCTAGAATCCAGGTTGTGTCAAAGTTGATAATGAAAACTAACCATCACGGGGCTGGGGCTGCTCCTGCCTCGGAGGCAGGTTCAATCCCCCACCTCCACATGATGGCCCACAACCCTCCCTAACTCGGATTCCTGGGGACCCTGACACCTTCTGACCTCTGCGGGCACCGATGCAGGCAAAACACCCATACACATAACACACAAAGCAAAAGGCCACCGCCGTGGGCTGTCCTGGAATTAGAAGGGTTCAGCGGCCCGGGGCCAGGGCAAATGAATGGCTAGAGGCTGGTGTGAAAAAGCTGAGGCAAGGGGGGCCCCAGCGATGGGTTCAGGCAGTGCTGGGCTTGGACAGTGCTGGGCAGAGAACAGGGGTTTGCGAACTCACCTCTGGTGATGGTCATAACGGTGCTTCAGAGGGTCGTACTCGCCACCCACATCCACCACGATGTCACACGAAGCCAGTTTTTCAGGGTCCCGAGTCCGCACAATCTCGGCATCCTGCAGACAGAAGGGCTGTGAGGCAGGAGTCCGGGTTAAGGTCGGGTGTCCGGGGGGTGTGTCTGGGGAGGGCGGCGCCTGGGACACCGGAGGAACCGGGCCAGTGCGCGGGCGGCCGTACCCTGTACTCTGGCAGGAGGCGGAGCAACGCGCAGGCCAGCGCCTCGTCGCAGTGGAAGGTGCCGTTGTGCGTCCCAATTCGGGGCGGTGCCATGAGGTTGTGGCGAGGCTTTTTAGGGGGAGAAACGGACTCTGGGCCGAGCATGCGATGCTGGGTTTGGAGGACGGAGCGCAGCGGCAGGAACAGCGTTAGGATTCCACTCCGGAAGCGACACCCCATGTGGCGGGAAGGCAGGCCCGGAAGAGGAAATGTCTGGTGCAACTTCACTTCCGCCTACGACTCGTCCCCAAGGCAACCAGAAAGAAGCGTGCACGCTTTCTTCCAGCTCCTCAAAGCGCCGGGTGGAACTCGTAAAGGCAGCGTGGCCAGCCCAGCTTCCGGGTTCTAGGCAGGAGCTCACCCCCGGCCCCCCGGCACTCCAGTCTGTCACCCACCCCTTGTTTAATGCAAGAAAAGACATCGTTTGCCCGGCTGGCACATTTATTAACTCTATAAACACAAGGCCCTCTCTTCCCAGACACCAGCAGGCCAATGCCCACAAAGTCCCAGGCCCCTTCAAACGGGGTCCCTTTCTGCTCCACTTCTGCAACACATCCTCAGGCCTTGGCAGTCGCCTGAGTCGCTCCCAGGGCTGTGAGCTGCTGGATCTTCTGGCTCATCATTTCCATGACAGCTAAGGGGAGAGAAGAGTCACACCTGAGCAGGGCCTCTAGGGAGAACCCAAGGTGAGGAACAGAGTGGATTGTGTGCGTGCGCACACACACGCACGCACACACAGTCTACACTGTTAGTATGCTAACCACTGGAATATAGTATAGAACAATGAGACTGTGTCAAAACAAAAACAAAAAGCCACCAACCCTTCCCGTGCTTTAAAATCAAGAGCAGCTTTCCATACATTTCCGACTGACTCAGTTGGTGTGAACTAGACCTACACTTTCTTTTTAAACTTCCTGGAGGATTGCTCTGTGCAGCCAATGTGGTAATCGCTAGTTTACACCGCAGGTTTCTATTGTGTTTACAGGCATTTTATCCCAAATCATTAACAGGTTTTTCCTCAATCACTCAAAACCCAGGATAACACATCAAGACACCAAAGAGAAACAGAAACATCTTTTTTGCTGTTGTTGTTGAGACAAGGTCTCTTTACATAGCGCTGGCTGACCTCGAACTCAGGAGATCTGCCTGCCTCTGCCTCCCGAGTGCAGAGATCAAAGGTGTGCACTGCTACATCCAGGAGAGACATGGTCACCTCCAAGTTTATGTTACAATCCACGTTCTTCCTTTGAGTGTGTGTTGTGTGTCCACCACTAACCATGGTATCTTACCTTGTTCTAGTATTCTCTCTCTGCTGAGACAGGGTCTCTCATTGAACCCAAAACTCACCATTCCACTCGGCTGGCCGTCAGTGAACTCCCAGGATCTATCTGTCTCTGTCCTGCTTGCACCGGGGTTACAAGCACTTGGGTCATGCCCAGATTTTATGTGGGTGCTGGAGATTTGAACAAGTCCTTAATGCAGGAAGCCCACTGAACCATACCCCCAGCCCTTGGTTGTTTTAGTACTTTGTATATGTGTGTGTCCACACACGCTCATGTGCACCTGAGTCCATGTATGTGCACCATGTTCATGCAGGAGCTACAGAGGTCACATCTCCTGGTACTGGGGTTATAGGTAGCTGTGAGCTGTCACGGGTGCTGGGCACTGAACCTGTGCCTTCTGCAAGCGCATTAAGTGCTCCTCACCACTGAGCCATGTCTCCAACCCCTGTGTTTTCTGCTGACAGGATCTTGGTATGTAGCCTAGCCTGGCTCTAACCTGGAATACTCTTGCCTTAGCCTTCTGAGCACTGAAATTACAGGTGTGCTCCACCACATTCAGCTGGATTACCTACTTAAATGGACAGTATTGTACATGAACTATGTATGTGTGTGTACACGTTTTATTTATAATTTATGTACACATATGCAAACATATAAGTAAATGTAATTATTATTATTATTATTATTGGTGGTGCCAAGGATTTAACCCATGATTTTGCGAGACAGGGTTTCTCTGTGTAACAGTCCCAGCTGTCCTAGAACTTACTTTGTAGCCCAGGCTGGCCTCAAACTCACTGATACCCACCTGCCTCTGCCTCCCGAGTGCTGGGATTAAAGATATGCGCCACCACCCAGCATGCTAGGCAGTCTTACTACTGAGCTATATATCCCCAAACCTAAACCAATTATGTCTTTTTCGGGGTAGGAACAAGAGTCTCATGAAGTCCACGTTGACCTTGAACTGGCTATGTAGTAAGGATGATCCCCCTGCCTCTCCTAAGTGATGGAGGCACTGTGTCCTCTTGCCTTAACCTCCTCAGTCCTGGGATTACAGGTATGTCCCATCATGCCTCATGTGATGAATGTTCTTTACCATGGAGGTAGGGAGGGTCTGGAAGTCCCCTGGGGGCTAAAAGCATTTGCCACACAGCCTGATGACAAGCGTTTCGTCTCTAGAACCCAGGATGGAAGGAGAAAACAGAGTCCTGAAAAATTCCCTCCAACCTCCACACACACACACACCATGGCACTCACGTGCCTCCCAGACCCACACACCTCCCAGACAGACAGACAGACAGACAGACAGACAACTTTACAAAGGAGGTGCTCTGGGCATCTTACCTTGTTTCATGGCGTGCTTCTCCTGCAGAGCTGGCTGGATCTTCTCCATCTGCTTGGTGAGGAAGTCTATCTTCCTTTTGAAGAAGTCCTTGGCATCCTCTGCTGTCTACAAGATCAGAGGTAAATGAAATAAAGGAGGCCCTGCCCACACTACCTTCTGAGAGGACATCCACGCACTTCCTGCCCACTCACCTTCTCCACATAGTAGCCAGTTCCCACATCGATGAGCACATGTTCCACATCATGTAGCTTCCCAGGGACATACATCTGAGAAGCAAGGGTTAAGGGAAAACTAGCCCAGCATGAGACACCATTTTGTCAGCCAGAGCCATAACCCCAAAGTCTCCTTTTCTAAAAGGCTGCAGCTTTTTAGACCAAGCAACAGAGTTGGTTCCCTGTGAAGACTTTCCCTGTGGAGCGGGAACACTTTCTTGTCCTGGTCCCATCTCTCATCCTCGAAGGAATTCCAGCACTTCTCCATTAGTCTTTCTAGAAAGACCAGAGGAGATGCAACCATGCTTTCCCAAGGTTCTAGAACAGTGTACGTGGGGAAAGCCAGCTTCATGTACTCCAACATAAATCCTGATGGGTTGCTACTAATTCTTAATTTTTTTTAGATTGTATGTATGTGTATTATGTGCATGCCTGGGAAGTCAGAAAAGGTTGCTGGGTCCCTGGAATTGGAGCTACCTACACCATGCTACCAAACCAGGTTCTCTATAAGATCATGAAGTACTCTTAACTAAGCTCTCTCTCTAGCCTCGGATTATTAATAACTCTTATATTGCATTTAATGGTTTTGTGTATATATTTTCACAAATGTGTATGCCATGGAACATGTGTGGAGGTTGGGAGTTTCTCCTTCTATATGGTGGGTATTGGATTGATGTCAGGTTGTATGTGTTTCTGCACATTTTTACCCACTAAATAACTTATTTAAATTTGTTTGGTGCACTGGTGTTACAGTTGTGAGCTGCCATGTGGGTGCTGGGAACTGAACCCAGGTCCTCTGGAAGGGCAGCCAGTGCTCTTAACCACTGAGCCATCTCTCCAGTCCCACATTGCTATCATTATTATTTTAATTTAAGTATTCTTCACACAGTGCTATTCTTAGGTTTCTCTTTTAGCTTGTCATTTCGCGGATCGCTTTCAACAAATGGAAACGATCTGGGTGTCTTCCTGAAAGTAGTTTTGGAATGAGCCACAATTAAGCTGAAGCACAGTCAATTTCCCAATTTCAACAGCCCACCACTTTCCTATTGCTTTAGCCGACTGCCAGCTTTAATCCCCTTATTAGATGAACATCCCCACAGAGCAAAGAGAAACACGACACTTCAATTCTTCACTGAACAAAGTACTGGATAGACACTGGTTCCTAGGCTAGACGAGAGAACTATGAAGTGTGTATGACTCTTTGCTTTTCCAGCCAGGGTTTCTCTGTCTAACAGCCCTGGCTGTCCCGGATCTCGCTCTGCAGACCAGGCTGGCCTCCAACTCACGGAGATCCTCCTGCCTCTGACTCCCCAGTGCTGGGATTAAAGGCGTGCGCCACCACCGCCGCCCGGCTATGACTGTTCTTAAAACCACTGGGTGACTGTTATCAAAACCCTCCCCGCTTTTGGGAGAGACCGAGGAAGGCGGCGAGGTAGCATTTCCTGTGGAAAGGATACAGAACTCGTCAGTGGGACCAGTAGTTCTTTTCCTGTGAAAGTAATGAAGACGAACAGCTGGGGCCGGCTGGCCGCTCCCACGCGAGGACGTTAAGGGGAGGGAGCTCCAGCCAGGGCTCAGTGTCCACAGACAGGGAAAAGAACCGCGAGAGGCGCCGGGAGCAGGTCAGCTCCCCGTGGGCAGCATGCGGGGGCTCGTGTGGCTGCCACACGCGACCTAGGGGACCGTTTCCTCCGGGGTCCCCGGGCGCCCGCACCCGCCAGCCCGTACCCTCGTTGCTCTTCTTCAGCACGTTCAGGCAGTCCTTGGCTTCCACGTACTTGGTCTGCACCACCTTGAGCTGAGCAATCGACGTGGACAAAAACTCCACCTCCTACAGGAGCCGGGGGAAGGGGGTCAGCCCGGGAGCCCGGGGCGAGCGGAGCCCGGCCGAGGGGGCGGGGCCGGCCCCGGACAGGGGTTCCCCGGGAAAGGAAGCTCCCCCACGGGCCGGCGCGGGGCCGCGGCGGGCCTGCAGCGCGAGGAAGGCGCCGGTGCCCGTCCTCACCTGGTCCAGCTGGTTCTTGAGCATTTCCAGCTGGGGCAGATTCAGCTCCGTGATGTTAATCGACTGCGCCATGTTGGGAAGGAGGACTACCGGAGAGGAAGCCGGCGAGGCGAGGGACTCTCTAGGCAGCCTCCGCGTTATCTCTGTGGTGCCGCCGGGGGATACGCTCTGCGCCAGTCGTCTCTATGACCGCTCACAGCGCCCTTTCACGGAGTCTAGAGAGCTGGCCGGGTGCAGGGCTTCAGCCTCCAAGGGACGGGAAACTCGGTCCCCAGACGCACCCACAAGACTGTAAAGCTGTATGCGCTACCGCACGCTGGTGGGACAACCCGGGTGACAGAACCACTAATGTGCTCGTGACAGCAGT